ATTCGCTGAGCATATGGACATACTATAGTCTAGTAATTACACCTCTAGGCATATATCCAACAAAATATGTACATATGATCACCAAAGCCATGAACACGATTCAGTAATCGAAAACTTTAAATAACCCTGTGTCCAACAACATTTGAATGGGTAAATCAGTAATGTGTAGTGATACATAGTAATACAAACTAGTACTTTACGCAAAGATGATGAATGAACTACAGCTAAATAAAACAACACGGCTGAATCTTACAGTGTTGAGGAATGCTAGCACGAACGTGTATTGTATGATTCCTTTAATTAATGTTCACAAACAGGCAAAATTAATCCATGATGTCAGAAGTCAGAATAGTGGTTTTCTTTAAGGGGAGAAGAATAGTGGGAATGGGACACTAGAATTCAGGAATTCTGGTTCTGCTCTGTTTCTCAGTAATGGTGGTGGGTACCTGGGCCTGTCTCATCTGTGAAAATTCATCGGATTACCCACATGGTTTTATACCTTCCCATATATGGGTTCTACTTAAGTGAAAAGTTTACAGGGAAAGAGCACACGTTCCTTTTTATACAGAGAACCACTTCCAAACTTGCCAGTGGCGCCTGTCTTCCTGTTCTCTTGCCACTCTGGCAGGCGCAAGAACCCTTCCGATCTGTCGGTCATGCAAGGGATGACCTACATCTGTTTGATTAGTGAGGCCGAGCATCTTTTGTATATTTCTTAAATGTCTATTTCTGCAACTTCCCTGCTCATGTCCTTTGCCTGTTTTTCTGTTATAGTGTTCCATTTTCTTAGCCATTTCCTAGACCCTGTGTATTTTGGATTTGTAGTTTATTATATACCAAATATAATGTCTTAGATAGAAATTCAAACTAACCAACTTGCTAATGTTAGGAAAAGTTTCTGTTGATCAATCTTAAAGGAGCCCGTTGTTCTTCACTTGCCAGCTCAGTTCTCAGGAGGGTAAAATCTGCCTTACCAGCTCCCAATCCGCACGTCCCCAAGGAGCCCATGCGAGACGGACTCCATCTGAAGGTCCTTGTTGTATCGCATATACATTATTATTCTCTTTTTCTTGACTGTGCTGTTCTTTGCTGGGAACATCTTCAAAAAAATTTTGAAGCACAAGTTTCTCCACTGCTATTATATGTTAGTTACCCTTGGTTTCTTTTGGTTTTTCTTTATGCCTCTGCATTTCCTAATATGGAGAGAAGTAATATTGAATAGGATTTGTTTTACTTGTAGTAAACTGCATATTAATTTTATCTGTATCACGTTTTTATAAAATAGCCCTTTAAAAACCAGTGTGCCGCATGCTATTTCCTTTACACTCTCAACCAGTACCAAATTTCTAAGTGGTTTCTTAACTAAAATATTTTGTTTCAGTAACTCAACTAGTCTGATGTGGTCTCACTGTGGTGTTTGCCTTTTTATGCTTTCGGTTGGGGATGCCTTAATGAGATAATGTTCAGCTTAAATATTTTCTATACTTTACTGTATTCTAATATTCCTCATTTCATTCTGTAATGGCCTGTGAATATTTTTTATTTATTTTTTCTTTTGATATGTAATTCATAGACGCTCTGCTGTTGCCCGTATTCAGGAGTTCTTCAGGCGGAGAAAAGAAAGGAAAGAAATGGAAGAACTGGACACTTTGAATATTAGAAGACCACTAGTAAAGATGGTTTATAAAGGCCATCGCAACTCCAGGACAATGGTACCAAATAGCATTCTTTAGAGAAATTGCAGTTTCATAGTAGGAGATTTTTCCCCTAATAGTGATTCCCGCATGACATTATTGCACCTTCGTGGTTATTGCTTTACCCAAACATGGTTCTTTTAGTCCTGTAATCTATTGTGAGATACTGTTAATTTTTACAAGAAAACTCTGCCCTACTGAAGAAATACTGTAAAACTTAAAAGGATTTAAAATTTCATCATGTCCAGGTACCCACTGCTGCTTTTTTTGTTCTTTCACACTTGCTCATTTGAGCGCCCTCTGCTGGTTTTATGGAGAAATATTGGGATATATGAAATCCAGGTTCATTGAAAATATAATCAGATTACCTTAATTATAATAACTTTTTAAGTCTGACAAGTGAAGGTTTATTTTAGTCACCTCATCACTGTAGACTTGAATTTCTTCATCTATGAAATAAGAATAGACCAGGTGATCTCTAAAATCATTTCAGGTTTTGCAATCTATAAGTCTACACCCAAGGCGTCATTATTTACTAAAAGAATTTTGCAAGATGATTACGTTACACGTGTTACTCTGAACCAGTCATACCTAGAGAGTGTTGTTCTTATATATTCACTGAGTTACCAAAAAAGTATCTACAGAATCAGTTTTAATCTGCTCTGTTCAGGATCTAGGCAAAAAGTTTGGGGTAAGGAAATAAGTAGCTTTCTCTATCAATATTATTGCTAGAACAATTTAATCATTCTAAAAACAATACTCATTAGAGGTAACCAATTTATATTTCTTGCAATTTGCTGGTTAAAATTTTAGAAGAAAATAATTATGGGTAGGAATGAAAACAAAAGATAACAAGTAAATATTATAGCAGTAGCTCTAAGGCAACAGCAAAACTGGCTCCTCTCTTTCGCTTTGCCACAAATAACATAGTCTTAGCTGCCCCCAAAACGATTTAAAAAAAAACCCTAATCTGAAGTACAAAAATTGTTAATGGTTCATATGTGCATCCATTGAATAGTGCCATCCTAACAATCTAGAACAGCCTTTTCCTTTCTCATTGCTTCATGCAAGTCAATTGCTTGTATCTTTTCTTAATTGAGAGAGCTCTAATAGCTCATAAAAAAATTGGTACTTGTTCTTTCGCTACAAAACAAAACACAAGAAAACAGTTCATTTTTTTCTATGAATTGTTTCTCTTATCTTGTAAAGCTGAAATGGGACCATTTCTGGAAAGATCAACACCACATATATACATTTCCATTTGCTACCCCAAACCCAAAAGTCTCTTCATCCGTTTAGCAGGTATTAAGTTGGTACCTACTGTGTGCCAAGTGCTGCTCAAGCACTATAAACACAGTGTTGGGCAAAGCAAAACCCCTGTCCTCCTGGGCACTTTTTATTACTCGCTGCTATTCATCCCTGGTGACGAATCTCTGTCACCATCTGAAGATATCAGAAGACAGACTCTCTCATTATGCTGTTATTTTGTATGTATTAATTGTTAAGCCAATTAATTTGTTTAACTTGAGAATAGAAAAAGTCTTTGTTTTAATAATGACTCACATTTTATTGTAATTTCCTTTTTTAAACCCTTCTTTAGATAAAAGAAGCCAATTTCTGGGGTGCTAACTTTGTAATGAGTGGCTCTGACTGTGGCCATATCTTCATTTGGGATCGTCACACTGCTGAGCACCTAATGCTTCTGGAAGCTGATAACCATGTGGTAAACTGCCTGCAGCCACATCCGTTTGACCCAAGTAAGATGACCTTTTATAAGGCAAGGGCGAGAAACAGAAACCGTCAGTACTGTCCGTCAGCTCCAGTGTCTTCCTAGTCGTTAATGAGAGGGTAACCCAGACTGCTGTGCGGCCGCTAGTCAGTTACAGCTCTGCTTGAGTTCGAAACAAAAGAAACATTTAGAATCTGATTTCGGCAGGTAGTATGGGGAAATAGGTCAAAGAGCTTATTGTCCTAGTAGTGCTAAGTTATGTCAGCTTTGAGGGTCATCTGAGCAAACCGTTCCCTCATCTGAATTGGGCCTCCACATGTCTCAGTTAACTTACCAGAATGCAGGCACATCAGCTCGTACTTGCCTTCCATTTGAAATCGCTCATGCTTCTCGTTAAGAGCAAGGAAATTTGGGCAACTTGATGGTCTTAAAATTATGTTCTAGGGTAACTTTTAGGAAATCTTCAAAATAATGTTCTTACTGAACAGTTACATGTGTCAGTATAATCTCTATTCCAGCTCAACTTTTCTGTAGGTACACATATATGCATGTATACACATGTACATATATATACATGTGTAGAATTAATGGCATGTTTTTTTAAGCCTTATATTAATATGTACATTTTATTTCTAGTTCTAGCCTCATCTGGCATAGATTATGACATTAAGATCTGGTCACCACTAGAAGAGTCAAGGATTTTTAACCGAAAACTTGCTGACGAAGTAAGATATTTATTATACTTACTATAGACCATACATATTTCATGCTCATATTTAGTAACATGAAACAACCTAAGGGAGTTAAGAAGGTCAAATTTTAAGAAAAAGAAAAACTACAATAAAAACATGGTCATAATACTAGAGAGGTAAAAATCAAAATATTAGTTTGCTAATTAGAGTATTGGTTATTGATAATACCAGATAAAATGTATTGTAGTTTAAGAAAAATAGATTGTTTGTGCTTATATAATACAGTGAAGAATCATTAAAAAAAAAACCTCTATCCTTTTCAAAAAATAGTTTTACTATAGGTGTCCTCCATAATGAGCCAAATTCCAGCAGAACAAATGATTAGTGAATCTTTTCCTTTATTATTATATTTTAGAATTTCCTCACCTCCATGTTAAATCATTAGTTTTTAAACAGCTCTGTGAAGCTCCAGTTTTTTTTTAAAGGGTTAGGAGGGAAGGCAGATGATAGGAAAGCTGCACTCTGGGCCTTTCCTCCCCAGCTTCAACCATGGTTTTCATTTGTGGGTTTTCATGTAAGATTTCTTACGAAAATAAGGGTCCATTGCATTAATCAGCTACTACCTAGTTGCTGAGCTTCTATGAGTAGGTGAGCGCAGCTCAGCTCTATGCTAGATCCTTTCAAAAGCATAAAATGAAAGGTCCTAAGTGCCCATTGCTGAAAATGTCAGTCAGCTGGAAGTGGTACCCCAGGCTGCGGTTGACAGCAAACAGTGCAGTTCCCACGTACACTTTCACTTACTTAACCAACATTTATGAAACACTTGGTGTGTGTTAGGTACAGTGCTGAACTTAAGAACATAGGTCTTGCTCTCAGAGCTTACAGACCAGTGGGAAAGACATACAGACAGACAGCATGTAGCATGGTCAGTGTCAGAGATGTACACAGTGTTTTGGAAGCCATACAGGGGAACAGAAAGTGCTCAAAAATGGACGGGGTGGGTGGGGAAGTATTGACAGAGGAAATAAGAATTAGACTAAGTTCACCAGGCAGACAAGGGGCAGAAGGCTCCTCATGTTGCAGGTTACTGCCACGTAAATAGACCACCAGGCGCTGAAACCGAGAGTGTGAGTAAGAAAGCCGCTCACCTGGACGGACCAGCCAGGCCAGGCCTGGCGGCTGTGGGCCCCGGCGCCCTCGTGGACCGGATGTGCCACCGATCATCGGGGACCCATTGATAAGATCAGCATCTTCCTCCTCCTGTTGCACTTGGATTTCTTTCTCCCTTTCCCCTTTTTTGCTTTTCCTTTTTCTTTTGCCCGGGATTATACACTAGACGCCTAGGAATTTGTGGATACTCATTTTGACCTGTTCTTGGTACTGAAGACACAATTCATTGGTAACCCTTATCCAAAAGTTTATTTTTGAAAATTCCGTTGTCTTAGTCAAGCTAATATTTTCTCAAGGGATCCAGGTGACCTAGTGTACTACTGTGTCCCTAGAAGTAACCAGTTCACTAAGGGGCAGGGAGAGTACCGAGGGGCTGACGGCCACAGAGTGGGCTGCTCTAGGAACCAGCGTACAGGTGAAAACAGTGAGTTTGTAATGTTTTTAGTAGCTTCAAAGTTGGACCATGTCTTTCTGCCAGTTGAAAGAGTAGTGTTCTCTGCTCTTAGTCCCTCAAATGCAAATTTTTATTTCATTATTAAAAGTATTTGGCATTGAGTAGTAGCCTTAAGGTGGAAAAATAGGCAGCATACATATATAAAGAATGAAGTGATTCCTCCTAGGACCTGCTGATTTTTTCCTGTTCTCCTAATCTTCAAGGAAAAGGTACAGTTACTCTAGTCTTTGATGTGGTTGTTTAATTTGCCTCGTAGGTTATAAATCGAAACGAACTCATGCTGGAAGAGACTAGAAACACCATTACAGTTCCAGCCTCTTTCATGTTGAGGATGTTGGCTTCGCTGAATCATATCCGAGCTGGTAAGAACTGTCAGTGTACGATTAAGGTCATTATTATATTTGAAGATCATGTTATTATTGAAGATCTGCTTTAAAAGGATTTAGTTAATTTCCTTAAGTCACGAAATGAAGACAGTTTGAACTTCTGAGCTAGGAGTTCTGTGAACTCTTGATCTTAGCACAGTAACTTATTTCTTCGTGAACCAAATTTATTGGAAAGTGTCCAAATGAAAAGACAGAGTCATGTGAAAATGCTGATCAGCGAGTTTGTTTGCTGGCGTGGAGGAACAGACCATAAACCAGAAGGCGGGGTGCCTTCCGTGGTCTAGGTCAGCCTCGCCCAGACGGGAATAAATGTGATGCTGCTGCAGAGGGTCAGGCACGTGCCTCAGGATGGGTTTGTCAGGATTTTTTGTTTTGGAAAATAAACTATGAGGTTCAGAGCCGCAGATGCACAAAATGCATATGTTATGACTACTATTCAAAAAGGAATTGAATGATCGGTGTTCATAACAGTAGGAAAGATCCAGGATCCATTACAAACAAAATAAGTTGATTAAACAAAACATCTTTATCACTCTTCACTGGTTTCATAGATGGAATTTCTTTATATGTTGGGTATTATCTATTCTTTAACAATAATCACCACCACAATTTATAGAGTGCCTATAATGTGTCAGGCATCACACTGGTCATTTCACAGATTTATCCTCACTTAGCTCCAGCCCCTTACAGCTGGGTGCAGGTCACACGAATGATTAGTAGTAAAGCCTGTATTTGGAACTAGCTTCCAGGCCCTTACTCCCCTTGGACCCAGAAATTTCACTTGCAGGAAGACCTCCAGCCCCGGATGTGACATGCGGCCCTCCGGATGTTCTGCCCTCAGACTGCCTTTCTAGCTCATTCCAGAGTTCTTTCCTTATCTAGCCACGCCATACACGCATTCCTCATTGAATTTTGGGGTACATCCACTTCTTCCCCGCCTCAGGATCTTTGTAGTCATGCATTTCCCTCCCACCTTCACTCCTTGTTATCCTTGAGGCCCGCATGCACAGTAGGTTAATCACCGCTTCTCAGAGGGAGTGGGTGGGGAGGCAAGTGTTGCAGGCATGGTAAAGGGGAGCCAGCGTGTCCCGGCGTCCTGGAGGACAGAGTGCGCACCGGGAGAGCCGGAAGAAGCACCTCGTGTCTGCAATTAAAACCGTAAAACCAGCTGTTACCAGCGGTGGTATTTTCAAATAGTCAAAACGAAAACTCATGTAAACAAAGTTAGTAGTCCAATAAAATACTTTTGCAACACATTTGGGGGCTCCCATGTTATTAGATTAATCACTAACATCTTTTGATCCATTTTCTTCAATAACAGTGAGTAAGCCTTAAAATTCATTTGGATTTCAGATTTGAGGAGGCAGCATTTTACAGAACAAGATCGTGACTCCTAAAACTTGCTTGTTCGTAGAAAGAGTTTATCTGATGAATAGTTTTTCCTGGATTTTTGTGAGGAAATTAATTAATTCTCTCATTTGTGTGAGAATCTATTTTAAACAGGTGCTTATGTGGTAGTGGTTTGTCAGCTAATAGCAACTACCACCTGTCCTTGATTTTAGGATTAGATATTTCATAATACAAAGATTCCCTTTTTTCCATTTTATTTTGCCAGCAATCAAAAATATAATTTTTAGTATGTTTAGTCAATTAAACTCACTTGTTTCTCACCCTCTCACTTCTCTTATATAAAAGACTAGATGGAAAAAGGTACTCAAGACTTCTTATTTCTGCTCTTTTATTCTTAAGATAACTAATTACTGGATGAGTCAACTAGGCAGCTACCCTTTCCTCTCCTTCGCTTCATTGTCTCGTATCCCCACGTGCAGTGACGTGTCCATATTGAAATCAAGGCAGTTAGCGATAGACTGCAACCCAGTGAGCACAGACTAGCCACGAAATATGTCAGCCCAGCCATCCTTCCACACAGCCTCTGGAAGCCCAGGGATAGATGAGAGACTGCACCTTCCTCCTGGGACTGTGATTTTAAGGAAGGCTGGGCTTCAGATCCACTTGGGGCCCCCTTTTTTTTTTTTGGTATCATTAATCTACAATTACATGAGGAACGTTTTGTTTACTAGGCTCCCCCCATCACCAAGTCCCCCTGACATACCCTATTACAGTCTCTGTCCATCAGCCTAGTAAGATGCTATAGAGTCACTACTTGTCTTCTCTGTGTTGCACAGCCCTCCCTGTGCCCCCCCTACATTATACATGCTAATCATAATGGCCCCTTTCTTTCCCCCCCACCCCTACCCTTATCCCTCCCTTCCCACCCATCCTCCCCAGTCCCTTTCTCTTTGGTAACTGTTAGTCCATTCTTGGGTTCTGTGAGTCTGCTGCTGTTTTGNGTTGCTTCCATTTCTTGGCTATTGTAAATAGTTCTGCCATAAACATAGGGATGCATCTGTCTTTTTCAAACTGGGCTGCTGCATTCTTAGGGTAAATTCCTAGGAGTGGGCCTGGGTCAAATGGTATTTCTATTTTGAGCTTTTTGAGGAACCTCCATATTTCTTTCCACAATGGTTGAACTAAATTACATTCCCACCAGCAGTGTAGGAGGGTTCCCCTTTCTCCACATCTTTCACCAACATTTGTTGTTTGTCTTTTGGATGGTGGCGATCCTTCCTGGTGTGAGGTGATACCTCATTGTGGTTTTAATTTGCATTTCTCTGATAACTAGTGATGTGGAGCATCTTTTCATGTGTCTGTTGACCGTCTGAATTTCTTGTTTGGAGAACTGTCTGTTCCGCTCCTCTGACCATTTTTTCATTGGATTATTTGCTCTTTGTTCGTTGAGGTACATGAGCTCTTTATATATTTTGGGTGTCAAGCCTTTATCAGACCTGTCATTTATGAATATATTCAGCCATACTGTAGGGTGCCTTTTTGTTCTATTGATGGTGTCCTTTGCTGTACAGAAGCTTTTCAGCTTGATAAAGTCCCACTTGTTCATTTTTGCTTTTGTTTTCCCCTTTGGGGCTTCTTAAAACTACAAATACCTGGATCCTACCCACTAAAGATTCTGAATCATTTTATCTGAATAGGGTTTGAGCTGCTGCAGTTTAAAAAGCAAGCAAAATTATTCTCATGAATACTATGCCAGAGACTTATAGTAGAATCTCCTTGATATGTGAAGGCAGTTCTGATCCCTAGAAGCTTTGCTGGCTATGGAGCAGTGGTAATTTTGTCTGGAGCATTCTAGACTCTTCTGGACTATCTTAGAATCTGATCAAGTTCCCTCCTTAAAATTCTGCTGTGCCTTCCTCGTGTTCTTAGGATAGATTCCAAGTGTGTTAGGCTGACTTATAAAAAACCCTGAAGTGTCTCTGGGCATGCATGTCTTGATATCTCTGGGCCTGGGCACATGGGAGTCTGGACACCCTAGTGTTCTCCGTGATGGGCCTGGAGAGCCTGGCTTCATGGTGAACTCGATTTATCAGGGCATGCTCATGTTCACTATCAGCAAATTAGGTGATTTTACTCCAGAACAAAACCCATATTCATCCACCCTTGTCTCCCTGCTTCCACTCTTGCCCTCAGTTTGATTTCCACATAGCAGCCAGAGGATCTTTTTAAACATGGGTGAGTAAAGCTTTTCCTTAAATTGCCACACAGTAAATACTGTAGGCTTTATGGGTGCATGGGTTCTGTTGCAGGCACTCGCTGACACTGTAGTGCAATAGCAGCCGTAGAGTGGGGTGGCGCGGCTCTAAGAAAACTATACAGAAGTAGCTTGTGGGCTGGATTTGCACATGGGCTGTAATTTGCTGACTCATTCTTTAAGACATAAACTAGGTCATGTCACCCTGGCTTACAGTTCTCAGGGGTGCCACACTTCTCTTAAAAGGGAACCCAGACTTCACCCTGGTCCACAAGGCCGTATGTGGCCACACCTTGCGACCCGCTGATGTGGACTCATTCCCGTTTCCCCGGCCACTGCAGTCTAGCCACGCTCACCTCGGTTGTCTTCTTCAAACTCAACCTTGTGAGCACACCTTTTCTCATTGTTTCTTCTGTCTAAAGAACAGTACCCCCAAGTTGACATATAATTGAGGTCTCAGCTCCAGTGTCACCTCCTAGAAAAGTCCTCCCTCATCACCCAGTGTGACTCCCCCATTCACTCATGCTGTTCACTGCATTTCTGGGTACTTCTCACTTTTCGTTTGTTTGTTGCCTTGTTCACAATTAGGGAGAAAAAGACATTTGTTGTCTTGTTTGTTACCTACCTTCCTTCTCTGGAAAGTAAGCTCATTTAGAGTGAGACCTAGGTTGTCTTATTCACAGCTGGGTGCTCAGCTCCTAGAACAGTGCCTGGCACATAATAGTTGCTTAGTGAGTGAGTGCAGAACGAATGACTGAACTTGTAGTATCAAATCTCTACCTAATGATGAGTCTTAGATTTATGCTTTTTCTTAAGATAGTAAAAAAGTCTTTTGTGATGGATATCCTGGAAAACTGCATTTCTATGGAACACCAGTTTCCTTTGGGGAATTCTTTTCACATCTCCCTTAACCCCTGCCCCAGCAAACTTCATACATCTTCATATCATCTTCCCCAACCAAAATAATTCCTGAAAAAATACTTCTAAAAGAATAAAAGAAACCTTTCCACAATGTAAACCTAATTTACAAAAACAATTTGGTGTTGCCTATTTTGAAAACTGTGGATATAGATATTGATTCTTCCATTTTCACTTAAACGAACAGTGTTCCTAGACCTCCTTGGACTGTAACTGCGCCCCAGAGCTGAACTGCCCTGTAGTTTAGGACCCCAGTAGCAGGCGATGAACAAGGCTGTCACTTGGCCTCAGGAATCGGGGTTGTGTGCCGAGAGCTGACTGCAGCAGCTGGAGGTGGATTCAAGAGGACGGCTCTTCTGACCTCTCCTCACTCCACAGGCCACTGTCATTCTGCAGCCTCCTTGGGACCTGCTTGGCCCTCACTTGTCTCCTTATGGTTTGCTTTAGACTTTGCAGGATTCCAGCATCCACTGTAAACTCCCTGATCTAGGCTGACATTTCTTCTTAAGCCTCCATTTCCCCGTCTTTATTCAGTGTGACAGTGAAAAACTTGGGTAAGAACCCAGCACTCTTGCAGTAGGCTGACCGTGCATCCTCGGGCTGCTCTCATTTGTCGGGCGGGACAGGCTTGCTGACTGCACGGTCAGCCGTTCCTGGGATGCCCACTCATGATCATGTCCGTAAGCAGAAGAGCGACTTCACAGTTTCTTCTCGTGAAGTGTATCACACAGTAAGAATAGTGTCATCTCTTTTATACTCACATTCCTTAATGTCTTTTATTGATCAGAAATTCTTCCACTGCTTAGATGCTTTCATGAAAATCTATTCAAATCATTTGTTCGTTTAACAAATGTGTATGAATTATTTAATAGCTAAAATTTGTATAATTAACGTTTTAAATCATATACATATATTAGTTTAACATTAAAATGGAGTCAGCATCAAGGGGATTTAATCTAATTCACTTGGACAATAAATATAGTATCCTTTGTATAGTCTTCTTGGTATTGTTGATCTGGGATCCATTAGGGGTGGTTAAGCCTGTGTGGAAGATAAATGAAATCTCAGGGTTCAGTCTTGTCTTGCTGTTGACAGTGGGACTGAACCATCCCTCTGTGTCTTACCCTAGTAGTTCCCATGTTCCCCTGGGGAAGTGTTTCTGTGGCAGTTGCCATCCTAGTGTGGCAGTGATTTTATGCTGTTTGATGCCTCTTTATATACCCTAATGTGACGAATCTCTTCTGAGTAAAACTCACATTTATTCATAAACGTTCACTGAACATCCTATACTCGGCCCTTAGGATATAAGATAAAAAGAAGTACCTCCTACCCTCCCGTAGTCTTTCTTGTCTGCAAGGAAGACATGTGAACAACCTTTACTGCCCTTAGGACCATCATGTGGCACGTGCAAGATTGTGCACCACTTCCTCCACAGTCCAGAATATCCTGTAAGTTGGGTGTTAGAAAAAGTCCAGGACAAGTTTCACAAAGGCAATAATAGTTGTGTTTAAGTGGGTAAGCAGAAGCTTTATAGCTGAAGAACTGGGCAGAAGTGCCCCGAGCAGAGGACCAGCAAGTGCAAATCCTGAAAGCCTAAGAGAACGTGCCGGCCCCGCTCACCGTTTGTGATTGATATGTATTCACTTGAGTATTTATTTAATCTAGATAAGCTCTCTGAGGGCAGAGACTATGTCTGTCCTGGTCACCGTTGTAGCCTCAGCTCTCAGCACAGTGCCTGGACATAGCAGATGTTGAATTTTTAAAAATCTTTTTATAAACAGAAGTGCACAGATCCTCAAGAATGGTCCCGATCCTGCAGCGTGCAGCCTCCGCCTCACTCCCCTCATTAGACTCCTGGACTCCAAGGAACAGTTTGGAAACCACAGCAGTGGGCCATAATGTGTCCACATCTTTAGGGTTTTTCTAACTTCTGTTAACCTATGTTTAGAATTAAACGCATATTCAGGGTTAATAATGCTATTTCCTTTAGTCCTTATTTGCCTCCAGAGGCAAAAAATAACTTACCTACACAGAGCAGTGAATGGATTTTCACATTATCATGTGTTGAATTATATACATTTTAATCAGTTTTAAATAAAAGGCATTGAAAATTATTTTAATTCTAATACTAAAAGTACTTCATCTGTTCTCCAGACCGGATGGAGGGTGACAGATCAGAAGGCTCTGGTCAGGAGAACGAGAATGAGGACGAGGAATGAGCAGCTCCTGTGGGCAAGACTTAAGATGTCCCGAAATTTGTATAAGACATTTATTATATTTTTTCCTTACAGAGCTTTAGTGCAATTTTAAGCTTATGGTTTTTTGGAGTTTTCCTCCCTTTTTGGGATAACCTAACATTGGTTTGGAATGATTGTGTGCATGAATTTGGGAGAATGTCTAAAACAAAAACTAGCAAAATGTTTAAAACTTTTTGCCATGTTTGAGGAGTGCTAGAAAATGCAAAGTGCAATCTTCCCCTGACCTTCGATGCGGGGCTTGGATCACTGTGGAAGAGTGATTTTCATTATGGTGAAAACGTTGATTCAGATAAATTTCTACACTTGCCATTTGCATGTTTGTTGCTTTCTAATTAAAGAAGTTGATTGTTTTAAGATACCCTGAATCTGACTTTTTATTGAATGCTTTGCTGCCTTGGGCCATGTTTTCCATTCATTTCTGTGACGTCAGACCTGCTCTCTTCTAGGTTCAGTAACCTTTTCTGTCGCGACTTGTATGTGACATTCACACACAGAGCTTTTCCTTCCCCCTCCAAAGTGCGTCACCTTCACTGCCAGCTGTCGTCTCATGGTGAGTGTACCTCATCCCCCAAACACAGGGGTTAGGCTGCCCGCAGAAAACCCACCGAGCACTCTCTTCACTGCGGTAGGGCAGCCATGGGGATGTGTGCATAGTGCTGGGCACCCGGCAGGGCAGAGGCTCCAGAGGCGCCGGGCTCAGGGAGTGACTCCTCAGCAGGAAAATCAGTGGGAGAAAATCGACAGGGGGTTTGTCCAGTCTGGTGCGGGGCGGGGCCTGTGCAGGGGGCTGGGGAGAAGGCCTGTGGGAGCTCTGAGCTTTCTGCTCAGTTTTGCTGGGAACTTAAAACTTATTTTAATTAAAACGGGTATTTGTCAAAGGAGTTAGATCCCCTATGTTTAGCCTTTTTGCGGAGAGGTTTGTGGTCATGTTACAGAGGAGCAGGGGGGGCAGCAGAGGGCGAAAACACTCTGTAGAGGCAGGGCTGGTGAGTCCTGGCTGCTCCCGTGGTCCAGTATGCGGGGCGGGGTGCGGGGAGACGACTACCGCCTGCTCGGTTAAGAGTGTGACCCGAGCAGTGGCAGCTGAGCGTCGGGGGTAGAGGTGCTGGGCTTGGGGCCTGGAGTCTGAGTGACAGTCTGACACCAATCCTCTGACTTTGGTTATGGATGGACAGACAGAGAACATAGCATGGCCATCATTAAAACCTGGTTTAAGACGTTTGGCCATGCTGAGAAGTCATTTAACAATACTTGATGAATCTATCTTGGAGGAATGTATGAAAACCGCATGGGTGGGTGTACCCAGGCGAAGGGTCTGGACATTCCCACCCCAGCTCTGCCAAGTGGGCTCCTTCCTGCTCAGTCCCCTTTCTTTGGCCCATGGGAAAGGGGGCTGGAAACAGGTATGGCTGCAGAACATGAGTCGGGTACAGGGGAGACCCCAGAATAGTCCAGTCCAGTCCAGCAAGTCCAAGTACAAATTCATGATTCCCACAGCTATGTGTACCAAAAACGGACATTTAATCAAGTAAACAAGACTATTCTAAATATACTTGTTTATAAATACTCATTTATAATAATCCTGAACAAAATATCTTTGGAAAAAAGTCATCCAAAAACTTCAAGTATAATTTATTTCAGGATTGGCTTGCTCTTGTTTTTTTTAAGTTGGCTTTTAACCGCTTTTGCATCCAGGAGTCTGTGTTGGAGATACAGCAGAGCTCTGTCCCCACTGCTGACAGACACCCCCCTTTCCACCTAGCCGGGTGGGCCCTGCCTGGGCGGGGCTGACTCACCTGTGGTTTGTGATATTTCCAAATGGTGGTGTCAAAGAGAAGTGACTTCTAGTTTCTAGGCAGTTAATACTGTTCAGGAGAATGCTTTCTGAGGGAAATGGATGCAGCTTTGTGTATTACGTACTCTTAAAAATAACACTGAGCAAAGCTACTCTTGGTGACCTCAGGTAGATCTGAGTTCGTGCCTTGAATTCTCTCCAGTGAGTACAGTCGCATGTGTGGGGCCTGCAGTCACACTGGCCCTGGCAAGCAGATACTCCCTCTCACTTCATGGCAGTCCTTCCTGCCCACCTAACCAAGCCTGGCCGTCCTACTCTAACAGCAGTGACATTTAGCTGTTCCTCAGTGTGGCCAAGAGCTCGTGTGCAGCCCTGATGCTGGCTGACACACTTTGAGACCTCAGATAACTCCCTTCACTTCCTTGGCCCCCCTGGAGTCGGAGTGTCCCCTTTCCCCCCAGGCGGCCAGCCCAGCCCTGCCCCCCTAAAGCCGTGGAGACTGTGCCCACAACCATTTTCCTTAACTTCAGGAGGAAACCATGGCTTCCCTTCTCTGTCCCACAGAATTTCCCCGGGGTCCCATGCACACTGCAGGCAGCAGCAGGGACTCCTATCCCTGCACCGCCTCTTCCCTCAGGGCCTGGAGGACCAGTGTCTGTGAATACAGAGCCACCCCCAGTCAGCCGGTCACAGAGCTGGCCTCAGTGCCTGGGCCATGTCTGGGAGAATGTCCCTTTTGGGCCATACGGGAGGGCAGGGCAGAGCTGGCGCTGTGGACCGAGACCACACCAGGCCCTGGGGTCCGCCATCGCCAAGGCAGGAGCAGAATGGCTCATTTTTGCACCTTCACACCTCCCTTGTCCCTTCCTCCCAGGGGTCCTCCTGTGCTGTGCAGCACACACAGCCACAACCTTCAGCAGCTTCTGTCTAGGATCACAGGTTCTCAGAAGGGAAGAATTCCCACTAAGGGAAGTGGCCCAGCATGGACTGCACCCCAGGAACTATGCTGACCCGCATTAATCTGCTGTCATCCACGGGGACCACTTAGACTCCACGTCCCACATAGAAGTAGGTCACAGACCTCATTTTACAGATAGGAGAACCGTGGTGCAGAAAGATGGGGGTCAGTGGCCCAAGACACCCTGCCAGCTGGTGAGCAGCTGGTGAGCAGAGGCATGGGGTCCAGACTGACCTTACTATGCATATGCACAGCCTGCCCTGTTCCCACTGTCAGGTGTCCTGAGTCTAATGGGATACGTTAGTCCCTGCTGGCTCCTGCTGCACACTGTGCTAGGCACGTCCCCCTCCAGGTCCCTTCCAGCCAGAGCGCAGCCGGGCTGAGCAGTCACGAGCACACGCCGCACCCTCCCCACCTCACGTCTGCCCCAAGTCCTCCCATCACAAGTGAGGGGTGCTGCCGGGGTGGAGGCTCAGCATGAGAGCTGAACAGGCTAACAAGCCCTTGTGTAAATGTTTCCCTCCTGCCTCACACCCCAAGCCACCTTGGTCTGTCACAAACGAGCTCCCTGGTCACTCACTCCCACAAGACAGTCCAGCAGCTCTTTAATGGGTCAGCACAGGCACCAGGTGGCCCCGTCTTTCATTCCCCACCACCTCCTGGGTGGTGATCTGTTCAAGATCACCCTGAACAGTGGCGGCACCTGCCACCCCATACGTGGTCACCCATGAAGCAAGCCAGCTGGTGGCCCTCAAAGGCTGGCCTGCAGTGGAGACAGAGCCAGACCAAGAGCTCTCTGCCAGGAGCAAGCATCTGCTGCTGGGGCTGCACTGCGGGTACTGCCTGGGTACCACACACCCACTGCCACCTGGCACCCTGCCTCGGAGCCCCGGCCACCACAGGCACAGCACTGGGCTGCACTCTGTAGTGAGATCCAGTGCCTTCAGGGCCACTGCAGCCCCAAACCTGCTATCTGGAGCCCAGCACAGGGTCAGTGGCAACCTTGAAGAAAGAAGCAGAGATGGGCAGAGCCAAAAGGTCCCACCTGCCACTGTGCACGGGGTCCCCTGGGAGAGGCAGGGTTCCAGCTGCGGCTGCACGGCAGAGGCTAGTGGGCCTGGGCTTGGAGGGGCAGCTAGGGTGACCTAAGGGCAGCGCCGGGGCACAGCCCCTTTCCGCCCAGCCTCCTCCTCGCTTTCATGCTCTTGTTCCCACTCAGGCTGAACCAGGCAAATCTGAATTCCTGAGTACATGAAGTATGGCTCCTCCCGCAGCCAAACATCTCCAAGGCTTGGCTCAACTGTCGCCTACTTCGTGGATGTCCTTAACTCCCCTAGCTGGAAATATTCACCTCCCTCTGAAGCCCAGTTCTTTCCACAATATTTACTTGACTTCCCTATTTGTTAGCATCAGTATCCCCGGGGTCTCCCTGAGTGAGTGAAAACCCTCTGGCGGTGTTGCCCAGAGCCCAGCTGGTGCTTGCGCACGGTGGACGCGCAGCATCTGGTAGGTGAGTACATGCCTGGGCCTCAGCAGAAAAGGGGGGCCTGGAGTGAGTCCTGTGCAGTGTCCAGATCTGCTTAGATTAAATCCTAGTATATCCCAGCTAGTCTGGGACCAGCCAATGGGGACGCGAGGCCTCAGGACTCTTTCCCCAGAGTCCACACCGCTGTGGTCCAGAGGAGGCACTAGCCCATCCTCGGCTCCAGGCCGGCTTGTTGGCCCTCAGGGTCCCCTGGCGAGCCACCCCAGCTGGCAGAAAACGCCTCCCTGTCCCATTCCCCTTCTGTGCACACTAGGTGGTCAGGAATGTGGTCCTTTCAGAAACTAGACAGCTGCTTGGAAAAGTATACACACACACAAGACATAAATGCCCTCAGCTTTAGGAACGCTGCCTTGCAGTGAGAGGACTGCCTGACCAGCACCCTCATCGGCAGGACGCAGAGGGGGCCCCTGCCCCTCTAGGAAAGCCATGTGCTCCCCCACTGCCATCCAGAGCCTCTGGCCCAGAAGCGCTGAGTTTGGTCCCTGGGAAGGAAACAGGAAAGCCCTTTGTAAACCGCATGCCAGGGACCTGCCAGTCTGGTTTCTGCCCCACAGCAAAGCCCCCACCTCACAGTGCAAAGGAATCCAGTGTGTACAGAGGCCTGCTGGGTCCCCTCGGAGCCTACCCTCTGCCGGCCACCTGGGATTCCGAAGACGGGAAAGCCTGCATGTTGCTCCTGTAGTCACCAGGCGGAAGCGCAGGCACGGGCCAGGCAAGCTCCCCAGGTCACCCCTGCCCCACAACTGCTGCCCAGCTCAGGGGGGAGGGGGACCGGCCCATGCACACCACATTCCTGCAGCCTGCCTCCCTGTCCCATCTGCGCCAGAGCCGAGTGGCCAGGTTGGACCCCCGCACACAAGCCCACTGTAAACCACTTCACACCAGCAAATGTTGGTCCTGGGCCCTGCTTTTTAACTTACAAAGTCAGGGCACTGAAGATCACATTGGCACTCCATCTTCCCGTCCTTCTCCCACCTGGCACATGGCCTTCGGAGGGCACAGGAAGCCCCAAATGACATGGTAAGAGGCAGCAGACCTGGCTGGGGCCTTGGCCCTGTC